GGGCTTGCGGGGGGTGGGAATGCGGATGTCGTCAGATGAAGACCACTTGTGTAGGAAGGATGGAGCAGAGCGGTGGGCGGAGAAGATGTTAGTCTCATCATGTGACATTCTCCGTGAGATAGGGACCTGGAAAACAGAGGAGGGGGCAGGTGATGGAAGACTTGAAGAGTCAGAACAGGAAGGGAGTAGCTGAGGTTTGCAGAGAAGAGAGTCAAGAGGACACAAAGGCGTGGGAACCTGACAGAGGAGGAAGTGGGTTGTGGGGCTGCCCCGCTAGCTCTTGGCTCACCTGCAGGTAATGCACCTTGTCCTGCGGCAACAACATGTGGTGCATGGGCAGCAGCTTGATGTCCCGGGAGTCCCGCTTCGCAGCTGCGGCGCCGTTCGCATCGAATCTCACTTTGCAGATCCTGCCATCTCCATAATCATCACACACACCATCTGTTGGCAAAGAGGAGAACGGCAGTCAACACTTTTCAGTCAGAAGAGGAGCATTATCAGGGCACCTGGACACCATCCTAATGCTTATCTGACTTGAGCTGCCCTACTTGCAGCCCTCAGGGCACACCTCTGAACGAGGACCTTGTCTTTCTGCTTGCAGCAGCACTAAAGCACCCACTCAGTGCCCTATTTCTTCTGTCTTGCCTTTGAATTGCTCACTGCCAGGTCTTGGACCCTTGAATGAGCGAGTTGGGCTGAGGCCCAGCATGTCACTTGGGTTGTGGTTTGGCAGCCACACACAATGTATCTATGCTTGCAACTAGTGAGAAGGATGTTGCACTAATGCTTCCTGGATGCTAGTCCTAAGGCGGCGAGCGGCAGAGCCCTCCACAGAATAAATTTTCTCGTGGTTGCTGACTTCAAGCTGTAACATGAATGTCACCGAGCCACCTGCAACACCACAAGATCCTTTTCCCAAAGACGCCCCCTCTTTCCTCTGTAGTCTTTTGGGGAGGTTGGTTACTGAAGAGAGGTGACTGTGGGTTGGTGAGGAGCTTACCATCCTCTGTGTCTTCCTCAGACATGATGGCCACGCACTGCTCCCACACGGTGCGGAGATCTGCTCGGTAGCGCTCGCAGGACCAGATGAAAGAGGGGAGCAGCAAGGTCTGCACCATGGAACACCAGAGCACAGCCAGAACCATCCAGGTGGGGGCCGTATCATAGCGCAGGCTGAAAAAGCTCACGACCTTTAAGGCAAGAAAAAGCAACAATGCCAAGGAGACAGAAGTAGGGATCCAGGCAGAAAGGTAATGCGAATCAATTCTGTAGCAGAACATAATCTGTCTCTAAAGGATTCATCCACTAATTATCCTGTGTCCCCTTGAAAACCTGCTCCTGGGGTCTTGCCCCAGGTTTGCTGGACCATATTCCAAGCTGTCATATCTCTAACATGAGACCTGGTGCTAGCATCCCTTCTTCCTGTGCTCGTTACCAGCTGGAGCTAAATAGGTGCTAACAAAGGACACAGCCGCTGGGGAAAAAAATAATCTGTGACTCAGCCTCTCCCCTTTTAAGAGTTCTTTTTGAGAACTTCTCCAGCTCTCCAATTTTGCACAGAATCGACTGGCTAGCCAAAACCTGAATGCTGCCTACAGCCACACAAGCAGAAGGAAAAAGACAACTGGATGCATCAGCTGTTAAAGCTGGTGTATCAGAAGCAAACTGGAGAAATAGAAATCTCATTGTTTTTACAAGTAAGTTTGCAGAATAATTTCCTCTCCTCTTAGCCACTTAAAACTTGCACAGTGGTTTTAGCTGTGTGGTGTGTATTCCCCAGGCTAAGATTTAAGAAAATGCTGCTGCGGAAGGATGAGAGAATTACTGCAATCTTTTTAAAACCACCGCTCAGAATAACACAGATTCAGATGCGGCAGTTCTGCGGCTGGTGGGACAGGAGAGATCCTTCTCTAAAACTTGAGAGAAAAGCAAATCTGCTTCAACTGCAGACTCTGAAGGCAAAAGGGAGAAGTGGATGCTTACCAAGATAGGCACCCCAGTGAGCGTGTCATACAGGAAGACAATGGCGCTTATGAGGTTGGTCATCTGCAAGGAGGTCTTGGCTGACTCGGAGCCGTCCAGTGAAGACCTCCTTTTGCCTCGTACATCCTCCACCACAATGGCTGGCACATTGAAAGTGGTGTGTGCTGATGAAGAGCAGGACGACGCTTCTTCTGCCCTCTGATGGTGGCACCGCCGGCGTCTCCTGTGCGCCCACAGGGTTTGGTAGAAGGTGATACCCACGCACACCAAGCCCATGACGATTCCTCCGAGCAGCAGGAGGCTAAAGCAGACGCCGAAGCCCAGCCCTATTTTGCTGACAATGAACTGGCAGCCACGGGCGTAGTAGCGCTCGCCGTTGTTGTGCCAGCCGATGGAGGGCAGGGTGGAGAGGATGAACGACACCATCCAGATCCCCATGACTGCGTGCAGAGCCTGCTTCTTGGCATTGCTCAGGCGGTAGTTGACCGGCCACCTCACCATCCACATGCGGTGGTAGGAGAGGGAGGCCACTGTGAAGCAGGTGGCCAGCGCCAGGGTGTAGTAGGTGGAGACAAAGACCTTGCAGATGCTTTCGTTCCAGTCGTAGTCGGAGGACTCGCGCCGCAGCTGCACCACGGCATAGGTGGTGAGGGGTACTGCTGCCATAAGGATGTGTGTGCCAGCAAGGAAGCACAGCAGCAGCTCCAGAGGCTTGTGTTTCTGTTGTTTGGCCGTGATGCTGAGGATAATCCAAGAGTTGGCCAACAGAGCTAACATCCCACATGCCAGCCACCACAGCGAGTTGTTGTGCAAGGTGGACTCTGATTCAGAGTCCCCCATGCTGCCAACCCTGCTAGACTGCACCCTGCCTCTGCTGCTGGGATATTGTAAGAGGGTGAGTGGGACTCAGCACTGGGGGAGCCACGTCTCTCCTCATCTGCTGCTGCAGTGTGAGTTGTTTGCACGCTGGAAGGGTTTCTCAAGGCATTGCCACCAGGTGCCAGCCAGAACAGCCGTCAACTGTCTCGCTTCCAGTCTTCCCTTTCCCTTCTATTTGATTATATTTCTTCCCCTTGTTCTAACTTTTTCATCTGTTTTTTTTCCCTTGTTCTCTTTCTTTTTCTTTCTTTCACCTTTTTTCTCTCTCATGAACACTTGCCAGTGCTTCTTCCCTCACTTGCTTGGGCTCACTTTTTTTTTTTCCTCCCCATCTATTACATCACTCTCCTCCACTCTTCTCCCAGATAAAAAGCTCTCCTTACTTCATGTGCCCACCAGACACCTTCTGACTCAGAGGCCACCTTCTGCTGGGACTGGTGAAGGCCACACACAAACAGGGACTTCTAGGGACTCCAAACACTTCGGCAGAAGCAAGTGCCTTCTTCCCAGTGTCCTAGGGAATGAGGAGCTAGGCAAGAGTTTCAGAGATGACAGGAAAAAGAGCAGAGGTCCCGATGAAAAAGTGAGGGTAGTGCATACACTGAGTGTAATTCCTCTCTCACCAAATGCCACTGCACTGGTGGCCAGGTAGAGGTTCCTGCCAAGGCTGCCAGAGAGCTATCAACGAAGAGGGAAGGGTGAGAAACAAGATTCAAAGGGCTCCCTACCCAAGACCTCACTGCTCTCTCACTACATTGTCCTTTTCACTGTTCTCTTTTTGCTGGTCTTTAAAGCTCTCCTGCGCAGGGCACAGCTGGCAAACAATAAGGAGATGGCAGGGAGGGGAAGATCCTTTTCAAAGGTTCCCTTGGAGATTCAGGGCATGAGTTTCACTGTAGAAGAGAGAAAAGAGAAAAAGTAATTTAAGATCATTCTATCTTCCCAGATCTCTCCCTCTCTCTCTCTCTCTCTCTCTCTCTCTCTCTCTCCTTGCCCACACTAACACCTTGTCATGATTTAGACAGTGTGGAGCATTCCCTATGTCTTTCAGGAAACAGAAGAGCCAAATTTGCACCAGTCCCTGCACAGCTCAGGCTGGACTCTGGTCCCCACCAACTCAAGCCAGTGCTGCTGAGACATACCATGCTCCCTGCCCTTCCAGTCCTAGGCTCCCTACCTAAAGTGTTGCTAATGCCATTTCTGGCATGGAAGGTCTGATCTGCATCATCCCTTGCAATTCCAGCCCTGCCATCCCCATGCATGTGCTGCTACACCCCTTGTTTCAGCTGTACAGCTCCCACAGCTCCAACAGTCTTTGGACCTCAGCTTCTCTCTGCCAATGATCTGGTTTTTAACCTGCTGCTCCCATCCATGGGCACATTCCACCATTCCAATGGTACCCTGCCATTCCACCTTCTTGACACACAAGTCTTTCAGCCATCTGTTTCTGCTGGAGCAGTTCTGGTCTCCAGGGACCCCCACAGTCACAAACCCAGGGAACAAGACTACTAATTCCTGAGACTCCTTACCTTTGTCTTCCCTGGTCCTACCAGTCAGACCCCCTTCTGTGTCTTCATCCATAGGGGACACCCAAGCAGTATATTCCAGGAAGGTACTGGCCTGTTCTGTGTCTTGACCAGCGCAGATGTAAACTTAATCTCTATGTTGATGGCTCAGTACCCAGCCTGAGCTAATGGCTCAGTTCCCACCCCCCCTTCCTTCTGCCTCTCCGTATTTTCTCACCCTCTCTGTGACCACCTGAGGCTTTGCCTCCTTTCCTCCCTGCTTGGAGCAGTTTGCCATGACTGGACTGGCGATGCCCCCATTCTACTCTGTTTCATCTTTTCCCCCCCAGTATCACCACTCTTGCAGTTAGGCCTGTGGCCTCTGGAGACAGTTACCGAACTACCCGTCTCTGATAATCCCAAGGGAATTAATTTCCTCGCAGCTTCTCCTTCTGCCGCCCTTCCCACCCCAGCTTGTTCTGCTGGCCCACACCGGTCCCTCGATGAGGCTGGAATCCTCCTGCTTCTGCTGCCTCTGGGGCCCAATTCTGCTCCAAGCTGTGGTTCTCCCGCTGGCAGAGACCGGAGTGCCCCCGAGCTAAGGCAGGATGCCCAGGTCGGGGAAACCCGTCCTCACCTGGCCGCGCTCCCTGGTGCGCCCCACCGCCCATCCCACAGCGGGGGAGAGCTCGGGAGCCGCTCGCGGGGCCGCCGATGCAGGGGAGGCGCGGGAGGGGGCTCGCAGGGGAAGGTGACCCAGAATGGTTGCAAAGGAGCGCGCACAGAACCGGGCTGCCGGGAGACGCGGCCGGCCGGGCCGAGCCGCGCCGCTGCCCCGCCGCCCCCCCGGCCCCCGCTCGGCGGCCCGGCCACGGCGGGGCTCCGGCCGTCCCGAGCCTCGCCTCGCCCGGCGGCGGCGGCGGAGCGCAGCGGCTCGGCCGGGGCTGGGCTGGGCTGGGCGGGGGCCGCGGAGCCCGCGGGGCGCCCCGGGGCGCGGCCGTGCCCGGCGGCGGCGGCGCCGCCCTGCGCCCGGCGGAGCGGGGGCCGCCGGCGGCGGCGGAGCGGGGGCCGATCGCGGCGGCGGCGGCGGGGGCCGGGGGACCCATCTTACCTCTCGCCGGAGCAAGCGCTGCCATGGCGACGGGCGCCCCGCGCGGCTGTGCGCGCCTCTGCCCGGCTGTGCCGGCCCCCGGCCCGGCCGCCGCCGCAGCTCCGGCCGCCGCAGGCTGCCGCCCCGGCCCCGCGCTCCGGCCACCGCCGGGCGGGGCTCGGCGAGGGGCGAGGGGCGGGGAGCGCCGGCGGGGGACGGCGGCGGGAGCACCGCCGGGCCGAGCAGCCAGGGGGCGGGACGGGCGGACGGGCGCGGGAGCCGCCGCCCCGGCACCGGCCCCCGCCCCGGCAGCACCGGCCCCTCCGCCGCTCCCGACGGGGCGGGCTGCGGCCGGCCGCGCTCCCGGAGCCCGGCTCGGACACGGCCCAGGCTCGGCGGCTCCCCGTCGTGTGCAGCCCTCCTGCCCCACGGGCCGGGGCCGCCCCACAGGGCACTTGCAGGACAAGAAGCGCCGGCTCCCTTTCCCAGAGCGGGATGTGAGGGGGCACCCGGGCCGTGCGAGATGTGGGGGAGATGGCTGCGAAGTGAGGGGAAAGGCAAAGAGCTGGTGCTGCAAAGGGTGCTTGGAGGGCAAGGCGCCCAGGGCATCGGATGTCCAGGGTGCCTTTGCACAGCTGCTCTGGTGGCCTCTTCCATCACCAACCAACAGTGTGGTCCTACACGCAGGGAAAAGGCAGAAGAGAGGACAGGAGATAGAGTGGAAGTAGTGCTCAGAGCAATGGTTTGGCCATGTCAGAGGGGTAAAGCTCCCCCTCCGGCTGCGTCACCTCAGCCAGGGCAATCCTGGCTAGAAAGTCTTCACAAGACAAAAGACATCTCATTTTCCTGTTACCCGTCTTGCTGCTGGAGTGAAGGCACCAATACCTTCCTTATCTTCATTCATTTTAGGGCTTGTTGTCTGCCAATATCTGTATCCTCCTTTCCTCCATCAGAACTGGGATAGGAATCCATGTTGGTGGTCAGTTAGGGCACAGCTGCATTAGCACCTCAGTTTGGATTAGGAGAACACGAACAATTTAGGTGAAAGGACCTGCAAGATATGCAGCAAATGTGCTCTGACCACTATGAGAATTCAGCTTTGCTTTGGGCTAGGACTAGTCTGAAGTAAGTCCCCAGACATTTACAGTGTGGCCAAAAAGTCTTCATCATCAGCTGTTTCCCTCTGCAGATCTGCTCCTGCTTCGCCATCCTGTCTGCTAAAGTGGATCTACTGATCCAGGATCTGCTCTGTTTTATCACCCTGCTGACAGGACAGATTTCATTTATCATTCTCAGTATTGGCTGAGGTGACCCCAAGTGTCTTAGATAGCAAAGAATTTCATCTAAGATTGGTAGGATCAGCAGAGGGAGAGGCTCCTGAGGAAGAAAGCTGGATGTACTGCTGGTTCTCGTGCCCAGGGGCAGCAGCCAAGGCAGTTCCAGAGGTAAAAAAGAGAATTGCACTGCAATGGCTGTCGTGAGTAGGGTCGCTTTTGGAGACAGTGAATAGAACGAGGAACCACTAGAATAGATCCAGCTTGATATTAGGTAGGTGGTAAGAGATATTTTTGAGGAAGATAGGTGGTGACAATGCTGCCATGATCTGGCTTTTCCCACAGAGGAACAGTCTTGAGGTGGTTCAGCTCAGTTGCCAGTCCAGCAACAGCAGGAGCCAAAGAAGAGAGAAGGGACAGTAGTGTCCCCCCTCTGTCACTTTTCAACCTCTATCATTTGCAGGAGGTTTATGCCTTGAAGTGAGAAGGTCTATATCCACAAATGTAAACATTTGTGCAGCTTCAATTGTGTCATTTGGATGAATTGCTTAATGTGATAACTTCCACATCACTGTCCTCTTCTGATTCAGGAGTTGAGTCTCCTTAGTATAAGTTGTTAGCCTGCTTGTGTGGGCGAATAAATCCTCGTGTTCTCTCAGGGAAACAGCAAACCAAGCTTCCAGCACTTTCTGTACTGCCTGCCTGCCTCTTCTCCACACAGGAAGGGACAACCTGGAGCCGAGCATCTCTTCATGGCTTAGGCTACACCTGACAGCAATTGGTGAGCAGAGCTGGATGAGAACAGTCCTCCAGTCTCAAGGAAGCTTCTTGTGTTTGTAAATTAGTCTTAGGGTTATTACTTTGAGTTAAAGAAAAAAAGTTGAAGATTTACTGTGAACAGAACAAACTCTGTTGGAAGAAGAGCTCTTACCCTAGGGCTGTCACACTCCCAAGCAGATGCTTGTCCATCCATCTCATCTAAATGTATTTTAAAGATTGCCAGACATCTGGTTTCACTGGTTTTTATAAGAGGGGCGTTGTAATTGTGTATATGCTGTATATTGACAATGCACATGCAAAGGAGCACCAATACTCAGACCTGGAAATCCTGAAGCCTCACAGTGCAGAGTTCCCTGTGTCTCTAAGAAGTCCAGGCTAGAAATGTGACCCTACCCTCCCCAAGACTGATCTCTTAAGAGGACTGACACAGCTGGGAGCAATTTTTAATTCCTACAGAGTCAGGCTTTAGTCCAACCAGCAACCTGCTGTCAAAAGTCTCAGCTCACTAAAATAGTCCAAGGCATCCAGGCCTGAAGAAACAGTGTTGTTACAATGTCAGGGTATGAAATGGTTTCTGGAAAAGTTCACTGCATAAAGATCAGTTATTTCTGGACAGCAGCTCTGCAGGTCCAGGGAAATGCACTTCCCAGAGGTACCTTGGATCCTTAAAGGAACAGAGCTCATTAACCAAGGAACAAACAGCAGAATCCTAAAAGCAGAAGCATTTACACGACAGCCAAATGCGCTTCACAGGGTTTTGATGGCTTGCAGCTCTTACTCAGGACTTTGATAGGGACCATGGGAGGTTTCATATGTTTCTCACAGATCATGGATGCAATTAAATCCACCCTTAGAGCCCCAACATGACTTACACAGCCTCCTGCGAGGCTACGTTGGTGTGCTTGCAAGCAGATTTCCTGGCATCCTTCCTGGCTCTCTGAGCAGGGTGTGGTTAATGGCTAACAAGAGCCCAGCCAAGCATCTCCCTCCAGTGACAGCGACTGCAATGTAGATTTGTCATATCCAAACCTTGGGTTCTATTTCTAGCACCATACAGCAAGATTTAGTGAGATTTCTCGGATATTTCATCTGCAAAATGGGCAATTGATAATAGCTCTCATGAGGGGACAGATGACTAGTGCTGGTTATGAGCTTCACAGAAATACTTAGGGCTCACAATGTAAAAACTAGGATTTGGACTTGGGGATGCCTATTTACCACTGAGTGTTTTTACTTACACAACCAGGCACCCTCAAAATATTTTCTTTTCTCTGTCATGTACATAAATATTTGTATATGATGTTTGCCATGAGAAAAAGAAATTGCCAGGGTAGCCTGGTCAAATATATGCTGTTGTGATGCTGCATGCTATTTTGCAGAGCTGTGTATGTCCTCCTTCTTCCCCCCATCCCTCTTCCCATCCAGTGCAATGCTTTGTGTGCTCTTCTCTCCTGAGTGTTAGGGACCCCTTTTTCATCCCTCTTGCTCTTGTGGCATCACTGGTATCCCAGCTCAGTGAATTCCAGTCTGTAAGAGATGTAAAACTGTCATTTCAGAATTTAATTATGCTGCTTTCCAAAATTACCGAACACTTACTTGTTTGTTCTCATACACAGAAGAGATAATTAGGAGCTCTTGAATCATTAGTCTGGGAACCCACAATATCTGGAAGGAGCTAAAATTACTTCTTTGCTTTAAATTTGTAGCACTGAATTGCAATTTTCATTTTACCTCTAGCTTCTCTAGGTATGTTTGAAGTTTCCCAAGGCCAGAACAATCATTTAATTCAAACAGAGCCTGGGCTTTCAGGAGCAGTGCTGACATGCTGGCTGCAGCTGGCCCGTGCCAGGGAAGCTCTCTGGCTCCCCTCGATGTTTCAGGTGGCGTGCTGGCCCCTCGGGAGCCACGGTCCCCATGCAGCCAGCGCTGCTGTTCCTGCTGTCCATGCCCAGTCCTCATCTCCACACAGCACACGGACAAGCTCAGAGGAGGGACTTCCCAGCACTGGAGCCTGAAACAGGCACCTTGACACGAGCCAGCTGGTGCTGAAGCATTGAGGAACTGGGATTTCTCCTTTCTTCCTTTTTGATGCCTTGCCAGTGAGGCAATTTCTGCCACCACCTCTTATTCTGCTGTCCTTTCATTCTCCAAATCTGGAAGTACCTCTAAGACTTGGCCAAGCTGGCTGGAAAATGAACTGAAGGAGAGCCAAAGGCTTCTTCAAGGGGATGCCAAGGAAGGATGCTGACATGCATGAGGCAAAGGCTGTGGTTTGGGTGTGCTGCTCAGAGGTGAGTGCACTTAGAGACCCTAGGCTTCCTCCTAGGAAACACACACTTGGGAATACTCTCAGAAAGGGGCCAGTCCAAAGCTGAACATCTTGGAAGAGTCTGGTACTCCAGCTCTGCCCTCACCTTTGAGAAGGGTGGATGGAAGCAACTCTTTCTCTGCAGCAGTGTTAGGCTAATGAGCCATTCAAATGGGCACTGAACACTGCCCTTCCTCTCCCATCGCCCCCCCTTCCCATCCCCAAGATAAAGAGGAATTAGAAGAGGCTGAAGTGCACAGCTTTTTCCCTTCTAGACCTTGGGAACATGGAAAGAAGCACGCAGGGTCATTTGGCTCTGAAGGCTGAGGGATGCGAGTGCTCTGCTGCAGAGCCTGCGGGGAGCATGAGTCACATGGATCGGCTCGGCAGATCCGGGCTGACAGCATCCACCAAATCACCGCCTCACGCTGCACTCACAGGGCAGAGACAAACTGGCAGGCAGGAGGGGCTGGGGGAGGCAGCGCTGTGGGACGGGGTTATTTCAGCCCGGGTGTTTCTGGCTCAGCAGAACTGGACAGGGCAGCGTATCCTCAGCTGTGCCCAACCTCCTCCCTCCACTGGAGCGAGGAGGTCTGTGGATCCTGACTGAGGACCATGCATTGGAGCTGGGTCCAAAGGACTGGAGCCTGTGCTTCTCCCTTCTGCAGCCCAGGAACATGGGGAACTGTAGTACCAGAAACACTGATGTAATAGGAAAATTCAGCACTTCACATATTTTTCCAAACTCATGCTTTCTGCAGTGTTTCCACATCACTACACAGGGCTCTTGCTGATGTTGTCATTTAGTGAGTATTGCCATGTATGCCATCATCTCAGGGCTACTCTGATGAGCTGTCACCACATGATAAAATAAGTCTGTCACTGTGTTTGCTGCTTTGCAGAGTTGTTTATTGCTGTGGTTTGTGCTATTGCATAATGTAGATACACCCTTGTCACACCTAGCAAAGGGAGAAGCCCCCAACACTTCCTGAGAAGGAGAACCAGGATATGTGGAAGACAGCCTGCAAAGTCCTGGCTTGGGCAAGATGTATCTGCACTCCATTCCAGCTGGGAACTCATCTGCTTTGACACGTTTTGTGCAAATTTTTTCTTATCTGGTTTGAATCTCTACCTCTGTGCTGCCTTGAAGCCCACACTGAAGCTTTCAGTGTTGCACTCACATGGAAAGCAAAGCCCAACCAGGACCTCCTCTGAGGATGACTTTTCTCTCAATCAGGGCAGTCTGTGCATCTAGGGAACAAAGGAGGAAAATGAAAAGACACAGACAGGAGAGCTGCCAAAAAAAGAGAGATTTATAAGATTAGAACTTACAGTGGTTTATGCTTGCAGGTGAGCTTCAAGTAGAGTAGGGCAGGGTCACAACTTTTGAGATCAGGAGAGCCACTGAGGAATTGTGCAGTGTTGAGGAAGGCTGATCATTTTTGTTACACTCGTGCAGATGGGAGAACTGGAAGCTGTGCATCTGTGGATGCAGCTGAGCACTTAGAGACACCCCAGTGGCACCACCACATCTGCTGCCACGCCAGCCAGGCCACCTGGGACCTTCTGCATGGATGGCAGGGCTGTGAGCCTGAGTGCTCTTTGCAGGTGGGTCCCAGCTGCCCAGCTGTGCTTGGGGACAGAACCTTTGGTCACTTGTGAGGACTCAGTGTGCCTCTGCCAGCCTGTGCAAGAGAGGAGAGCTGCATCCTGGCTTTGACAGCTGTCAAGCAGCTCAGGCACCTCCGAGTTCTCCCAGCACTGCTGCTGGCATTGTCTGCTGCACATGCATTTTATCCTGGACAGGCCAGCTTTGATGGACCCTGTGCTGAGAAGAAATTAACTCTGCACTGGCTGAAACTGGGACACAAGGTTTTTAATAAGCCCTATTAGCTCAGTCTTTTATTGTCAGGCTGATTCTCTTGCTGAAGAAGTCAAGGCTGGTGTTTTTGGGTGAAGAAGTGGTTGGTTCAGCTGTCAGAACCCCAGGTGAGCATCTGAACTGCTGGAGATGGCTGTAGTGCTAAAGGAGTTCCCAACAAATGTTCACCCAGCCTGATTTTTTTGTCCCATCCAGGTATCAGGTGGTACAGGACAATCCCTGTGCTCCAGATACCCATGTGAGTTTGGGAACTCAAGCAGTTCTTTAAGGTGAAGAGTCTGGAGTGCAGAAACAGGGGTAGTTTTTTGTTGAGGGGATTGTGCCAAGCAGTTTGTCATGACCATTACACAGACCACCCCTGACTTTGCTCTCATTTTCCCACATAGAGCTCCTAAAATGGACGTGTCCTTAAGCCATGATGATGCCTTGTTTAGCAGATTGATGGCTCCCAAGGTATCCTGGCAGTTCAGGGGCAGGACAGGAGCAGGAGGAGCAGCTGCATGCACCAGGACATGCAGGTTTTTCCCAATTAATGTAGTCATGTGCATGCAAGCACGAGCTCTGGGAAGGAAAGTGACGTTGGTGTGGGCCTCTGTCACTCCTGTTTGAGTGAGGATGACAATGGAGGAGCAGGCCTGACACCAGTGGGGCCCACACCTGCTGCCACAGCTGCCTGGGGCTGTGTCCCCACCCCAGGGCTTGTGGGCGGGAGGATTCCCCGGGCTCACAGGTGCTGCCTGGGCCTGTCTGTTGTCTGACGGTAACAGCGTGGTGCTGGCGTGACAGACACACAGAAAACCCCTCCTCCAGCAGCAGCACGCATCCCTCTGAGGGTCTTCACCACAGGGAGCCCTTCCCACAGCCACTGCCCCTCTGTGCCTGTCCCCAGCAAGGCCAGCACAGACAAACAAACCAGGACTGCAGCCAGTGACAGCTGTAGGACCTCAAGGCCTTTTCGACCTGCCACTAGCAGACTGACAGCGGAGTAACTTCTTTAAACACAAGACTTCTGTGTACATATTTTAACAGCATTTTTCTTTCAGGACATTCTGTCATCTCTGCAACATGCTTTTAGTTCCATCTGAAATTTCCTGGGCTTTTCACTCCCTCTTCTCATCTCCTTGAGCCAAAAAAAAGGGGGTCATTTGGTGAGAAACAATTCCAGTGGCCTTCTCAGAAGCATCTGCTTTCTGCACTCTGTGGGACTAGGCAGTTCAAGGCTGGTTTGTTCTCCTAGGCAATTACTTTCTCATACCATTCCCAAACTTACCTTCTAGATCAACATTCAGAACTTCTTCAGGCTGTGACTTCCAGAATCTATTGGTATCCTGGGCTACCCTCCTGATAAAATTAGTACTGAATTATCCCACTGATTGTGCTGTTTTTACTTGTTTGTTAGCTTGTTGTGGGAGAGGTGACAGCTACAGGCTGACAGATAGATATGGGGGAGCAGGTATGTAGGTCTAGGGGTAGATATGTAGGGCACAGAGTGCCCAGGAAAGGCAAAGGAGCATGGACACAGAGGTTTCACAGAGAGCAAAGAGCTGGTGCATTAAGGAAGGCTCATGGCAGCCAGGGAGGTTGGAGACAGTGAAAAATCAGCATTTCACATCCTAGCAGGAAAGAGAGAAATGTGAATTTGAACCAGACAAGAGTGCCTCAGAAAAAAATGTAGTCCAGCTTGCAAAAAATAACTCCCAACCCCAAAGTAATTTATTGTCGCTGGGGCAGATAAAAGAAGTGCATAAAATTGGTTCCACAAGAAGGTCAAATTAAGTACATGAACAAAATGCAAGCATATTATATATATGTGTGTGTGTATATATACACATATCTTCTGTTCAGCGTCTCTCATTATAGAACTGAGGATCAATCATAACCCCTCGGGGTTTCTTGTCTGGTCCATTGGCTCCTAGCCAGACAACCTCCCTCCATGGCTTTAGACTGGGGGAATGATGAAGGAATAAAGAATTTCATTAGAACAGAGAATGGGAGATGGATTCACAGAGCACTGTGGGCTGCCAGGTGGTTATGTACAGGCAGAGACTTCATCAGTCCTTGTGATGTCAGTGCTTCAGTGTCACTTTCTCAGCCGGCTGCAAGAGAAAAGTACTACGTGAGTACCACCCCCCACTTGTTTTTTGCATAGAGAATGACTGCCTGCCTCTGTAGCTGGGGATGCAAACAGTTACTTGAGCATCCACACGGCTGCAGTTTGGGTTTCAGTTACACTGAGCTGCTTACTTGGCAAAGAGAGTTAGAGAACAACTGTATCAGCACTTGTACTGCACAGATTTATCTAGATTTCGATGTATCTGTACCGACTTTGTCCTCTCTTTATGGGGATTATTTTTTAACCTTGATAAAATGTAGGTGAAAACAAGGTGAATTCTTTGACACGTTATGCTCTTCACCACATATACATCCCAGCTGTGATGCAGTATTTGCCAATAAACATTCTCGCTGAATTCTTGGTGACAGTGAAAAAAAATTAGGTGAAACTATCACAATTTGCCAATGTCACTGGTGAAAATGAAGCAGAAGTTCTGCACCCAAACATTCATTGAGCTTGTTCATGCAGCCATTTATACTTCCCTTTGTGCTCCCCTTCCAGTGACAGAATGGCTGTCAGTGTTTCCAACATCTGCTTCTGATGCCTGATACCATATAAGCTTAAAGACATGGAAGAGGGCAGCTTCTCTGCTGAGAAATCCTTGCTCCCATGAAAAGGGTCATGACATGATGGTGTATTTTATTTCACATCACCCAAGGCCTTGAGGAAAGGGTACAAATCAGACTGTTCTGTGATTTTTTTTTTCCCCTCCTCTTTTGTTACTCCTGGGAGGTTATTGGCAATTTTCACCAAACGCAGTCCAGCAATGCTCTAGCAGAGCTGGAATTAAATTATGGACATCATGGATTTTTAAAATTTATGTTTCATCTTTGTACTTGGTTTTGTGCCTTCCACCTCCACAACCTTGATATCCAGATCTCAGATTCACTGTGGACCCTACTGAAGGACTTTAGAATTCCTGCTTGGGTTCGGCTAACATCTCTCAACACCAAGATAATTTGAGTGAAACAACTCTGCTCAAAAGTTTTCCAGCTACAGTGCTACCATGGGTGTGGGATTTAGCACAGCTCATAACTCTTAAGCAGGATTTAACATGAGTAAGAGCTGAAAATGCTGAAATGCAGCTGTACCGTTTCACCAAAGAGGCTCAAGTTCAAATTCGCCCCGCTCAGTCATCCCGCTCCTCTCTCTTGAAAACAGTCTTTGCCCATTTTGGGTGCCCTCATTGCCACTTACTGTTGACACTGACATGTCTTGTTTTCCAGCAAGTGTTGTCTTGCTTGTGCCATCCTTTTTGCTCGTTGCTGCCAGGAGAGAAGGGACAAAGAACAATTGGATATTTTTATGCTTCAAATGCTTTCTCTGAAGTTGGTAGTAAAGTGCTGTCTGACATCTGCAGACTGCCCATCTCAAAAATTTGCCTTGAGTCTAAGGATTGACCCACTGTCTGTCCTGTCCTGCACCCAGACAGGAAATCTGACTCCTCCTGTGGTTTGGAGAGGCAGTAATCTCTGCACCTTTCACAGGGACCGTGGCACTCACCCTTCTCCGCTGCCAGCGTACACCACTGATGATGCACAGGCACCCAAGGGCAAACGCCAATAAACTGCCTCCAATGCTTGCTCCAATAATCACATTGATAATCCAAACAGAAGCTTCCTCTGTGGGAGGATACAAATATTTAGACACAGAAACAAATAGAATTTTATAGCTTTAGGGTCGGGGCAGGGATGTGATGCTAATTTCCATACCCACGTGGTAGTGAAAGCTGATCTTTTTGTCACTGCCTTCTATGAGGTGACAGCTCCACAGCCCTGCAGTGCTGATGGTCACCTCCAGCTTTACTTCACGCTGCTTTGATTTCTTAATGTCCATCTTGGAGCCATTCACAGGTTCCCAGCTCAAGTAGGCATCGGGTGCAAGCAGTCCAGAGACCTGGCAGGTCAGGGTCACACTGGCCCCTCTGGAGAGTGGCCCAGCAGGGTCAGCTGAGACTGTAAAGGCAAGACAAGGACATGTGAGTGAGGGCGTGGGAGGATGGGGCCATCCCCATGCTTTTGGGGCTTGCAAGTTTCTGTAGCTCTTCCTCTTCATGACCCACTTCTCTTCCTTCCTCTCACCTTTCATCACCACCAGCTCTATCTTGCTCTGTGCATGTCTTCTTTCGTACTCCAGCTGGCACTGGTACTGGCCAGAGTGATTGAAATGGACCTTGGGGAGCTTCACTTCTATGGTACTTTCAGGTTTGCTTTCAGGTATCTCAAACAACAAGTTGTTGCTTTTTTTAGTCTCATGCAGCTGTCCTTCTGCTGTGATGTTGAAATCAAGCAGCTCATGAGATTCTGCACCTTCCTGTTGTTTCCAATTTAGCTGTCCTGTGAAACCTTTTTTCCATTTTATCTTCTGGGAGTTCAGACGCCAGGACAAGATGACAGCACTATCAACAGTTGCATACTTTCTTTCCAAATCTGGATTCTGAAAACCTGAATTTAGTAGAGACAAGAAATACAGAGGCAGGAAAAGCCATGATTACGCTTCCCCGTGTCTGTCCTTGATCCGGAGTGAGGCATGCTGCACTCAGTTTAAAAAGGACTTGGAGAAAAGCCATGACATCTTCCAGGAAGGTTAAACAGAGAAAGAATAAGACAGCAGAAAGATCCAAAGCTTCCAAGCACAGCAGAGCTGAGAAGAACAGACCCCGAGGAAAGGAGAATCTTCTCCTCACCAAGCCTGGAGAGAAAAATAAGTGCAAGAGTAGAACAGAGCTCAGGCAGCAGAACAAGCCCCAAGCTGCATTGCTGGAAGCCCTGGGAAGTCAACCCTGGAGCACCAGTGCTTGGAATGTGGAGGTTAAAAGTTAAACTCATGAGCTGAAGGGAGCAGTGGTTCCCAAGCCTGTGTGTGAGTTCCATTTCTGTTGTCACATACCTAATACCTTCACAGCAAAGGAGATGTTCTGATTAATCAATGGAGAGTCTGAATGGATCTGACACACCCAGGTCCCACTGTCCATAGTCTCCAGTTTCTTTAAATTCACTATGTATTCTTGAAGGTTCTTCTTCTGTATTTCTGGTGTCACTCTGTTATTGTTACTGTCAAACAATGTGATGCTGAGATCAGGTAGAGGACTGGGTGAATTTTGAGTTAAAATCAGCTTAGGCACTTCATTTTGCAGAAAATGCCCATCCAAAGAGATTGCCACTGTAAAAAGAAAATGCACAGGCAGTAAGTAAGTTCCTGGAAGAGAGACACAAGTGTTACAGCAAAGAGAACATGGAGACACTGTGCTCTGGAGATGGAGGAGAAATGAACCGTGATAGCCCGAGACAGAAGACATGCAGCTGGATAAAGAATCCCAGCAGAGAGGTCTCCCCAAGCTCTAGGGTCCCCATCCCTCCTGATGGCCAAAAGGCCTGCACTCACTCACAGTTAACGATGTGCAGTGAGGTGTGGACTTTGTGAGTGCCGTATTCACAGGTGTAGATGCCGGCGTCGGAGAGCTTCAAATCCCTCACGCTCAGTTGTTTGTACTGCATCTTGATGTCAGACCGGCCAGTAATGAAAGTTGATTCTTTTGAAAAAATAGGCTTGGTTAGGAGGGAAGAGGTTTCTCAGCTGTGTGAAGGGAGAAGGGGTAATGAATGGGAAGCCTTACTTTTCCAATATTTCAGCTTATTTTCCATATACCATAGAAGAGTATCAGAGTACTTCCATCTCACAACTGAGTCCCGAGGTAATTGTGATTCAGGAAGTATGCCTGTGCAGTTCAGGGTCACCTCCCCTCCTACAAGCCCAGTCTGGAATTCATTTTTCGGAACCATACTGGAGGTCAGGCCTGAAAGTCAATGCCCACCCAAAAAAAGGCGTAAGTTCACTTTCTGAAGGGTGGCTCAGTAAAAAATTCCCAGCCCTTCAAAAATACGTTGATATTTTTCCTCCCTTTCCCAGACAATGAAATTATCCTCAATTTCTGAATTTGTCACTCCTTTATATCATCAATCAATCAATCAAGCTCTTTTATTACCTGATTATTCTTTTTCACATACACTCAGAAAAAAGGGAAAATACCAGTAGTTATGGCGGACTGACCATCATTTATAATTTTGAAATTTCGACACTTTTACTGAGACAACCCTTTTCCACTGGATAAGACTTAGTTATTCTACTGGTAGCAAATGAAGGACAGCATATGTCAGCCCTCCTTCACTCCCCAGTCAACACTTGATGCAGCACTGACAAATTTGCTCACACCTTCTTCCAGTTTTTGCATGAATGAAGACTGAAAATACAAAAAAATGAAGAAATAAAGTAAAAAAAGAAAGAAAGAAGGCTGTCCTAATGTCAGGCTCCTGTTCCTGGGAGGAGGATTATGTGACAGTAAAAGAAATAGGTTGTATAAGGTTGAAGAAACATTAGGAGTTGTTTCTTGGGAAAATAATTTCCTTTCCTTCACTGTGAAGAAGGTTTCTGCAGGAGACATTAAGAAAGAGATGGAGTTGCCAGAGAAAAGATTGGGAATAACAGGATTGTGATCTCCTGCCTCACTGCTGGTAAGCTCTTAGAGATGCTTAACCTGCAAATCCCTGAGGTGACGTGAGTACTGAAGAGCTACAGAAGTGTAAAATTAAAAGTTTACATGAGTTTAACGTAGGGCTTGCCAGAAGTTACGTCCCTCTAAGAGGTCACCTGCAACAGTACCCAAACAAGTTTTCGGTAATTGCACATTGGACTACAGAAGTTTATGATTTTGTCTTTAATTGTGAAATTAGAAATGTTACTAAGAAGTTGGTATCTTTCGCTTTTCATTTGGTTCTAGGATGCACAAAAGATTTCCAATGTTTTCTCTGTGACCAGAGGAATCAAAGCTGAGTATCTGAAAAATGCAGGCTTGGCCTTATTCACTGTCTTTCTTTTCTTGGAAAATGAGCACTAAAAAATCCACCAAAGCTTATAACATTAGCAGTCAAGCTAAGCAAGCCAGTGGCATTCCATTTGCAAGGGCAAATCTGTGATGAGATTCTGAAGATCACATCACAGATGTGGTTACGCATCACAGATATGTTTTTTCCCCAGACAGCTGGAGGCAATGTGGAGGGCATATTTTCCTCTCTGCTTGGTGTGTATCCTGGTTCTCACAGGACCCCACTCCTGCATCTCTGTGGGGCAGCTCCCCAAACCCTGGTTTTGGCTGGCAGGCTCAGCAGGCGGGCTGGGAACAACCTGAGTCCCAAAGCTAAACCGTGTGAGGAAACTTACAGAACACATCAGAAAGATCCTGGAAATACACCGAGGGTTGTGAGGCTTGTGAAAAGGCTGTGAGAACCAGGAGGGTTTGCAGGGCCCAGGACTCACCCAGATGCAGAAGCAGGAGGGCAGCACGCGTGCAGCTCAGGGCTGTGCCACTCAACTCCATCGCTGGGAATGCTCCTCCCCTCCCCGGAGAGCAGGGCTGGAAATGCTGCCACTGCCAAGGGATCCTATCCTGGAAGACCCAAATGCTCTGTTAGTAATGTTTGATTATTCAGACCTCCATGGATGGGACTTGTGTTCCCAGTCAGCTCCCACCATCCCTCAGCACAGGAAAATGGAAGCTTTTTGGGAAAGTCACCAGAGCCTTTTGTTTCAGCAAAGAATCCATCTGCAGCGTGCCCCTGGAGTTTGGTAATAAACATTTCATTTTACTCATCCCTAGGTTTCTGGCATTCATCAGGCAGCAGCTGTTTATACTGCCAAGAGTTCTGTGCTTTTTTACTTCTCTATGGTGGGTTATCATCACTCTTGCAGAGATTAAAGCAAAACACATACAGGGCTGCATTAGTGAGAGCACAGCCAGCTCTGCTGGAAGTAGAGTGAAGTAATTATTTCTCTCTATTTGGCACACCTGAGGTCTCATCTAGGATACAGGGTACAGTTTTGGGCCCCCAGTACAAGAAGGGTGCCAACAAACTCTTTGGAGTTCAGTGGTGAGCTGGTGACATGGTGAGGAAGTTGGAGCACCTGACATACAGGGAGAGGCAGAAAATTGGGCTTGACAGGGAGAAGGGAGTCAAAGTGGGATCTAATTTCAGTTTCCCATTATCTAATGGATATTACCTAGAAGAATAAGCCACATTCTTCTCAGATGTGCCCAGGGGAGGAGCAGGAGGCAGCAGCCATATGTTGAGCAGGGAAATGTTGACTAGATAGAAGGAAAACTTTCTTCCCACTGAAGGTGGTTCAGCAGTGGAATAGATGCCAAGAGATGCCAGGCAATCTCCACCATTGGAGACGCTCAGAAGTTGCTTTGTCAAGCCCTGAGCAACATGTTGTAGTTTTATAGTCAACTCAGCTCTGAGTAGGAGAACTAACTGGAGACCTCCCAGTGTCCCTTGCTATCTAAATATTTCTGTGTAATTTTGTGATGCTATGATTAAAGCCATCTTTAGGCTGTTATTATTATTTTTCTTCAGGTTTGGGCTTTTTTTAAAAACTTGTTACCTTAAAAATCTCAATAACCAGCAAGTCGAATGTTGGAAAGAACAGAATTCTGCTTGAATTCTTAGGACTATTCAATGAAAAGTATGGGGAGAAGGGAGGAATGAGGTCCACAAGAAGAAGTTGCACTAATGGTAGCAAAACCTTAATGGTCATGCTAAGGTGAGTTATCAAATTAGATGCAGTATCTGACTGTAGCAAAAGCCAAGAGCTGGTAAGAGCTGCAGCTGGGTGGGGTGACAAGGTGAGGGGGATCATGGCTGCTGGCACAAGGAAGCTACTGAGCTCTCCATCCCTAAACCAAGGCATAAACCACAGAAGGGAAGCCAAGCAGCTTAAGTGCCCTGGGGAGTGAGCAAGCCAGTGAGGTGACCTCACTTCTCTGGAAGCAGGCGGTCCCCATGTCAGGCGTGTGACAGACTGAAGGCTGGAGTCTTAATGGGATTAAACTCAAAAGAAATGCATGAATAATTTTCCACAGTATTTATATGTACGATGTGCAATATTAAGTGTAATATATTCTATTAGAGGATAATTTAATACCGAAATTAATTTAATGATCAGAGCATGTGGAGCTATCAAAGAGTAGATGAAAACATCAGCACTACATTTAAATGGAGATCAGGTCAGCACAACATCTGACATCCAGACCCATGTACAGACATGCACAGATGAAAAATATGTGTGCAAGAACAAGACAGCAGCCATATGCACCATCAGAAGAGAAACAGGTGGCAAAGACACAGTCAGAGGAGACTTGTGGCTTGCCTCGTGCAAAACAAAAAACCCACCCCAGGCCAGGAAATATTCGCATGAGCTGTTTTCTGCGAAAATTGTAAAACAAAGGAGCGAGTGCGGATGATTGGAGATCGCTCCTAACAAGATGCAGAGGCAGTGATGAAGCAGTTTGCTGGGTTAAGCTGCAGAATAAAGAAAGGGGCACTAACAAGGCATCTGTATGCATCTCACTCCGAAGGAACATCGATAACTGAGAACTGGCACGGGGCCCTGAGTAAGATCCATTCCTGAGGTGACAGGAGGAACCTCATCCCTGCTGTGAAATCTCGCATCACCTGTTCCTGTGGGATGAAAAAGTCAGCCCCCACTTGAAAGTAATATCTGTGAATTAACAGTTCAGTGATGGGTTTCAAATTTTTTAAGTCATTAAACTTTATATAAAACCTGAAGGTAATGGAACAAGTAAAAATTAATGAAATTGCTGAGTCACTCCTCATAATTTTGTTTTGACTGGGAATCTCTATTCTCCTGTCATATGGCTTCAGTTTATTCTTTGTCTTCTTGCTTCCTGGTTATTGAGCAAAACCACACAACCAGAGCACTGTGGGACTGGTGAACTGCTGACCTTGTGCATCTTGGTAGATGCAGATTGATGCATCTTTGTTCTTCTGTTTCTTCTCTTGGTTTCACATCTTCTGCATCCCCACTTTGTTCACACTAATCTTTGTATTTCTGTGGCAGATCTCCACAGTGTGATGTTACCACCTACATGCTACAAATCAGTGGGGGAAAATGGGTTGCCTTCAGCTAGGATTTCTTTTACACAATTTCCCTCTCTCCCTGCTTATTTCTGCTTCTCATGCATGCCACTTCCTATTCCCCCCTGCCTTTCTATCTCCTTCTGCCTCCCTCCAGGCCAGATCCCAGGCAAGGCTGCTCCAGAGTTTACAGATCTCAGAGAGCAAGGCTCCGCTGTGTTAAGCGAGCAAGCTGCTCTCATTAGCGGATGCTCGTAGCAGACCCACAGCCTCCTTACAGGCAGCCCAGCTGCATCTTACGGTGGTACTCATAAATTAAGCGGTGTCACAGAATGTCCCCAGGCACTGGAACATACTCATCAGTCCTGTTAAATTGCTAGTACATTTCCTGACACATTTTTGGCCGGGGACAACTCTCCCTCTCCCGAGCAACTCTTGGGATGCATTTAGGTGTTAGCATGGGCCAGGGACCTCTCCCATTAGGTGGCTGGCATGTGGCCAGTTCATTTTGGAGGTTAAGTGAGTTTAATAGCCCAGACCATCTCATGCCAGCTGGCCTCTGTGCCAGAAACAGTCCAGGCATACTTGATTTATTAGCACATCTAGCAACGGAGGAGCAGGGCTCCCTCCCAAGTGAACATTGATTTCCTTTTCATTTTAACTTCCCCCTCTTATTAAACTGGTTTAATTTCCTTCTTGACTTATTTTAATGATCCTTGCTTCTCTGAGGGATAGGAAAAGGAGAGCTGAGGTAGTGAGTGAGCTTGCTTCAGAGAATAATGCCTGCAGGACCAAGTCATGCCTGGAGAACATCTGCTTGGGAGCAGGGCTGGCAGCCCCTCAGTACTGAACCCCAGTGGGTGATGGCAACAGAGACCTCTCCACAGGCTGGCGCTGGCATGACACAGGAGGAAACTTAAATTTAAAAAACCCCAACAAATAAAAACTCAGCAACCGCTCCTGATGCAGAGCAGGCCATCTTCTCTGTGTTTTCCTGCGCCTCTTTCTCGCAGTGTGGTTTTGGTTTCTCCTCTCGCTGTTGTTTGTGGCTGTGCTTTTGATCTGGCAGCAGCTCGTTCTGTCAGGGTGGGGGGCCCCCAGCCCTCCCTCCCTCCCCACAGGGCTCCGCACCTCGGCTTCCGCTGCTGCGGCATTTCGGCATTTCCCCTGCGCTGCCTGCCGGGCCAGGGCCCAGGGATGCGGCTGCGCCTTGCCCTGCTCGAGAGTTAGCCTCAGCTGTGGGGCTCTGGGCTAAAGGGCTTCACCTCTCTTCCTCTCAGTTTAAAACTCTGAAACAAAGCTGACTTGGCTCTTTTACCAAATAGTGGTTTCTTTGAATTTACTCCTTGACGTTAAAGCAAACGTCAGGCGAGCAGCGGGCAGGGAGAGAGACGAAGTGCAATGAAAATAGCCAGCAGAGAGCAAAGTTATGACAGCAGTGAGGATCATTTCATGGTCCCTACTGTCCCCCTGGACTGTTTGACCCTCCCTGCATTTCCTCCTGAGCATCTCTGCTCATCCAAGAGCAGATGCCAGCCCCCCCTTGGAGCCCCTGGGAGAGGAAGGCGCTGGAGAAGGATCCATGGGGTCACACGAGTGAAAGCCTAGTACTTAAAAAAGCAGGAATCGAACCTACCCTAGAGGAATCAAAACCCTCCATACTTCCTTTATATTACTTTCTAGTAGGGTCAGCTAAACAAGCTATCCCGAAAATGATAGTTCAACTCCTTCCCCTGCTAATGAACCCCCAGGAAAAACTAATCTTTATCACTAGCTTATTCCTAGGAACAACCATTACTATCTCAAGTAACCACTGAATTATGGCCTGGACTGGCCTTGAAATCAACACACTCGCCATCCTGCCGTTAATCTCAAAATCCCACCACCCACGAGCCATTGAAGCTGCCACTAAATCCTCCCCAGGAGAGGTCCCACCATCAGGACAAGGAGGGTGGGGATGTCGCTGTGTCAGCACCAGCTAAGCTCCCCTCAGCCATGAGGTACCCCATGCCCAGTGACATGCCTGGAACCACGTGGAGGCCGCGAGAAGTGGCTCCAACTCCGCAGCCCAGGCTGCTCCCTTCTGGGCAGAGGGGAAGCCAAGACCTGCCAAAGCCCCCAGAGGCTGTGACTAATCAAGGCACTGTGAGGCACTCTGAAATCAGCTCCTTCATCAGCCTTCCAAGCCCTGTATGTGCTTGGGATGACATTTGGGTATCACCCCTCCTTAATTTTCCTCTGGTGAATACAGGGTCCCCACGAGAGGCTGTGACAGATCAGGTGGGCACTGTCCCTGCGTGCTCAAGAACCTCTAGTGGGGATGAGGTGGATGCTCAGTTTGGATGAGCCAAGCCCTGCTGTGCTGCAGGCAGACATGTTTGTGAGACACTGGGGAGGACAAAGGAAAGCCAAGGGAGACCTCATCACAGCCTTTCAGTACTTA